AATCAACATTCTTTATAAGCAACCTCTATACAAGCAACTTTTTCAGTTCAACTGTTCTGTATAAGCAACTTTAAAGTAATTTTACTTGTATATATATATATATATATATATATATATATATATATATATATATATATATATATATATTTATATCAGGCCTTGCGATGAATAAGAATTGCGCGACGCATAAGCACGACGTGATTTTTGACGTCATTAAATTCTTTTTATTTGCTTTTCGTATTTATCGACGTTAACTGCACCAATTTACTTAATTACCGCAAAACTACTTTAAATCGTTTATGTAGAAATGCTGTTATTTAAAAATGTTTTGGAATTTTTTTTTTTTTTAATGTAAAAACATTTGTTTATTTTCTCGACGTTTGTCACGTTTTGTCTATACTAAACGCTTAAAAAACATTATAACTTAAATTTAAAAAAGATTATAAAATATGCTAATATTTGATTTTTTTTTTCTTAAATATGTAATTTAAAGTTTTTCAAATAATTATTTTTTTTTTTTAAAAAGTCAGCGAGTAATAAACTGGAAATTTTAATATTGTACGATTAAAAACTGTGCAATAGCTAATATTTTTACAAGCGATTTTATATAATATTTATTTATTTATATTTATTTTCATAAAGCGGTTGATAAGCACAATCACTCGTATTAATAAAAAACTTAAACGAACGTTTTGAATAGATTTTTAATGTTAACAAGGAATTTTATTTCTAGTAAAATAAAATAAAATGTTAGAATAAAAATCTTATAGGTATAAAAGAAATATTTTCAGCGAAAAAATTATTCTTAAAAATTATTATTAAAAATTATTCGAAAAACTATTGACGTTTTATTTTTCAGCAGCTGTTCTTGAGCACGCTTCGTTGAGTTTCGGTAACTTTTAACTTAAATATTAATCCTTTTTTTTTTTTTTATTTGAGCTCACCAATTTTAAAATGTTTCCTCGAAATTACTCTTAAATACTTAAAATGCAGTTAATAAATATTTTTAAATCTATGGAATAATTTTAAAACCTAACAAACCCCCGTAAAATAATTATTTAAGTTGAAAATCTAAAACTAAAAGAAAGTATTTTTGTTCAATTTTATCGACAACTTTGCTATTGCTGAATAGTTTTATTAAAATGTTAGCTTAAAAGATTTAAACTTTTTTTTTAATCTGAATTTTTTCTACTTGTAAATAATGAGCATATTTAATTTTTTTTAATTCAAACTTTTATTTCAACTGTGTGCGGTTTTTAAAATACTTTATTAAATGTTAAAATAATCGTAAATTACTTCATTAAAATTCCGCTCAAAAATATCTTTAAATATACTCAAACAATAAATTTTTTGCTCGACGCAAATAGCCCTAGCTACACGCAAAATCGCTCTTGGACGACGTAAAATTCACATTGCCCAACGCTTTATCGCAAGGCCTGATATATACATACACATACATTTTTACTTTTAAATAAGCCAAACTTTTAAGTTTAGGCTAATTTAAAAGTAAAGTCAGCTGTTCACAACAACATAACCTCAAAGTGTAAAAACCCCTGCTATTGGAATATGTTTGTATTTTGTGCTGCCAGTATTGAAGTGAATTTCTGTTATATAGAATAGTTACTTGAATTCCGTTAGTTTTTGCTAATTAATAAGTTAATTAATATTTTTGTGCTTTAAATTCAACCATAAAATAAGAGAAGAAAAAAAGATATTCAATTTCGTTAAAAGATAAACTATCATTTTAAAGGACAATGAAAATGGTTAAATAACAAAGGACATTTGCAACAAACATAAAGTTGCTAAATCTACAATAAGTAGAGTAAAAGAAAATTAGAAAAATTTAGAAGAATATGAATTCAAAACATATGTGAATAAGACTAAGATTAAGTGAATGAAGAAAATAAAATATAGTGAAATCAACAATACAGTGTTTACTTGGTTCTTGGAGCGGCGACAATTAACTGATTTAGTTCCAAATGAAATGATAAAATTAAAAGCACTCAAAGTAATTAGATTAAATAATGGACCTGAAGCATTTGTAGCAAGTGATGGATGGTTAACCAATTTTAAAAAACTCCACGGTATACTTAGGGTTCAGCAAGTTACTTACCGGTAACCAGTAATCTACTGGTATCTTAATTCTAGTTACTGGTTACTTACAAGCGAATCAATGCAAGTGCATTTAAATATTAAAATATCTATTTAAGTGAATGTTCTTAAATCAGATGTTTTTATATAATATATCTTTATTACATTTATTATAAATGATTTATTATAAACATTTATAAATAATTTATATCAAAAGTAAGTGTTTTAGTTTAGAGTATTTTTAATGTAAGATTGTTATATTTTTACTCAACAACTGAATGTATTAAAAAAATATTGCTTAAGATTTCGAGGTACATTAAATATAAGTTTAGTTTAAAGCACCTCAAAAAAGTAATTTAACATTTTTATATATGCATTTAGTTGTTAAGTAAAAATATAACAATTAAAAGTTAAAGTTTAATATTAAGTCTTTTAGAATAAGTTTTATATAACAACAAAAGTGTTAAAGTGTTTGTTATTGTTTAAATAAATAACATTATCACGTTGCTATTGAATTAATATTAGTTCACTGAGTTCAAAAGTCATGTTTTACTCTTATTTAACATTGATTTAGATGAAAGCTAAAATATGTATTGAAAGATGTCTAAAAAGCAGGAATATTTTCGCTAAAAGATAAAAATGCATTCTCTGTGGCATGGTCATCTGATAAATTACACAGCCATAAAATAGCTAATTGTTCTGATATATCTGATGAATAAAAATAGATTTTTTTTTAACAGACCTGTAAATAATAAAGTTGGTATAAGTAAACAACATAGTGGTGTTAATTTGATAAGTAAACAAAAATTTAACAAAAATGCTACCATAATAAATTGGATGGACACTTCTAAACAAATCTGACCAATTGCAATATGATGAGTTATTGTCAAATTTTGTTTTCAAACTGGAATTCCATTTAATATTATAACCTCTTCAGCTTTTAAAAACTTTATACGTGCTTTAAGACCGGCTTATCTAAACCATAATGTTATCAGAAAAAATTATTAGAACTACTCTTCTGAGGAACCAGTATGAAAAGTAATACTGGCTTAAAAATAATAAGTAAAAGTCCTTATTTTTCAATTTCAAGTGATGGTTGGTTAAATATACGAAATGATCACCTTGTAAACTATGTTATCACAATTCCTGGAAAACAGCCTTTTTTTATTTAAATCTGTAAACACTATTATTTTTTCTCAAATAGGAAAAACTATTGCTGAAGGTATTTTAAAGATTGTAGAAAAATTAGGAAGTGATAAATGTGTTTCAATTATAACTGATAACACAAGTTCAATGAGAAGTGCATGGAATATTATTGAATATAAGTTTCCTAAAATTTTTGCTTATGGATGTGCTGCTCATATTATTAATCTACTCATAAAAGAAATAATATCTTTGGATTATTTTAGAGAAACAATGACATCTGCTTTACAAATTGTCTTATTTATAAAAAGAATACAATTGCTTTCATATAGATTTAATAAATTAAAAAAACAGTATAGAATTCAAAATACCTTAGTGATTCCTGTTGACACCTGTTGGTATACTCATTATAATTGTTTATCAAAATTAATAAATGCTAAATTTTTTATTGAACTCTTAATTGAGGATCACATTATGTCAAAAAATCAGAGGAAAAAAAGTTCTAAATAATATAATTGGAAAGAAGTTTCTAAGTAATATAATTGGAAAATACGAAGTGATAATTAAGATTTAGCAAACATTTACAATAATTTAAAAAGACTCCTCTATCATTTTGAAAAACATGATTTAGATTCAGGAATAATTGTCAAGTTATTATATGAAAGGTGGACCTTTATCCATACAGAATCTATGGGATTTGCTTTTGTTTTATTACTAATATATATTAGTGATGACATTATTGGTTCAGATAAATTAGACACTTAAAAACAGTTAAAAAATAAATTGCAATCAGGTTATTCACAGTTCCATCATCATCTGCTTTTAGTCAAAGAGTTTGGAGTACATATAATTTCATTCATGGAAAGAGAAGAAAAAATTAAATGAAAATGTGGAAAAGTTAGCTTTTTTTTAACATCAATTCATCTTTATTAGACAAGGAAGATAAACAAAATTTGAATAATGTTGTTTGTTTAGTGGTGTAGGCATGGAATGAAATTCCCATCTCAGTTACACAAAATTTATTTAGACTTTTTTCATCAAGTGATGAAATTCAATACATTTCTTCCAATCACTTTTCATAAGAAGACGATATTCCCTTGGAAGATTGTATAATTTGATATTTAATGATTGTAGTTTAGCAGATACTGAAATTATGGAGTGGGCAAGTGAAACAAGCAAGGCAAATCATCCATTTAACCTTGAAGATAATCCTAAATAGAAAGTGAAACTACTCTTGTTAAAGAAATGAAAAAATGTCGGATGACTCCAATAAAAACATCAATGATGTTATAAATTCTTTTAATTTAGTGATAAAATGGGCAAAAGAAAATGATTTGTCTTGCAAGAGGTTTTTTTGTTACTAAAATTAAGAGAAAAATTTCATAAACAAAAAATATGTAATTGTTTTTTGTTTATTATGCCAATTAGTGTTTTATTTTTTTTAGTTTTGTTTGTTTTGCCAACTAGTACAAAAGGTTTATTAAAATTTGATTGTTTAATTGTTTTTTTTAAATATAATTAATAACTACGCTGCAAAATAAAATTGAATTTGTTTATTCTACACAGTTTAGTTAGTAAAAGAAATAAGTAAAAATATTTTTCAGGCATACAGTATTTTATACTAGTTTTTCTCTATAAGCAACTTTTTCCAATAAGAAACATTTTTATTGAAATTGGTTCAAATGAATTGCTTATATACAAAATTCACTCTATTAAGTAATACTACTTTTACAAGTTTAAATGTATAAAATATTTTCTAACTTTAGATATATCAGTTATTGGAAAGAAAAATTTTCTACTGTTAAAGATTTAAAAGAGGTTTGTGTTGTTGTTAAATCAAACAGCTCACCAGAGGATAAAGGTTTGATTCATTATTTTTTTTAAATGATTTCAATAATCTATGAATTAGCTTCTTTAGAGCCATTTCAATTTTTTTTTAGCTCCATCAGAATATTTTTATATGCTGACAAATTTTATTCCTGAAGATGAAGCAATACGAGATGAGCTCACATTAGAGAAGTTGGTAATAAAGTTGTAAATAATTTCAGAATCAGAGTGAACTCTGATTCTAAATATATATAATATCATTTTTATTTTTTACTTGAAATCTGAAATTTTATTAAAAGTTTGGAATTCTTATATAACCAAATTTTATTAAATATAACCAAATTTAGTATATATATATATATATATATATATATATATATATATATATATATATATATATATATATATATATATATATATATATATATATATATATATATATATATATATATATATATATATATATATATATATATATATATATTAGTGATGTACCAATATCACATTTTTGGCTGATGCTGATGTCGATGGATAGGAAAAGGCTGATACCAATGCTGATACCAATGAATTAACTAATTATTAAACAGAGTTGGACCCAGTTTATCTGCTAAACTTGAGCCTCTTTCCCATCGTCGTAAAGTTGTATCTCTTTTTCTTTTCTACAAATACTATCATGGATGCTGCTCAAAGGAGCTTTCATGTCTAGTACAACCAATCCATCAACCAAAACTTATTCTCGCTTGACTCATCATTCATCAAAGTCTCATTCTTTTACTGTATCTGTCTCTTTATGCATTGAAAACTTGTATTTGTCTAGCTTATTTCCCAGCACTTTAACTTTTTGTAACTCTGTCCCATTTTCATATTTTCCTGACTAATACAACCTTCAACTTTTTAACTCTTCTGTCAACCGTTTCCTTGCTCAATAACTTTACTCTTTTTTTCTAGCAACTCCCAACTTGATAGTGGTTGCTTGCAACCTTGTTGGGAGTAAAAAAGAATTTTAAAAATATAGATAATAAAGCTTAAATAGGTTACTTTTAAAGCTTTTGCCTGTAAACATAAAAGTCAAAATAAAGATTCATCCAAAAAATTCTAAGTGATTCTAAGTATTCTAAATTCTAAATTCTAAGCATAAAATTTAGTTTATTTATTAATTATTATAATAATGCACAATAAATATATTAAACGCCATTGGTTGGAAAATCAGTAAAAGAGGCTGATACCGATTCCGATTGTACAAAAAGTGGTTGATTAAGCCGATACCGATTAATCGGTACATCACATATATATATATATATATATATATATATATATATATATATATATATATATATATATATATATATATATATACATGCATACATACATACATACATACATACATACATACATACATACATACATACATACATACATACATACTTACATACATACTTACATACATACTTACATACATACAGGACCTATTCTAGAGAAAAAATTTGGACCGTGGTACCCCTTCGTTTTGGTGGACTTTTGCGAAAAATCAGTGGGTTTTTTTCGCGAAAAAAATAATATTTGCCGTAGAAACGTAAAAAAATATAAACAAAACAAAAAAAGAAAAAAGGTCCTCAAATTTGGGCGGCGCCCAAATACAGTCAGCATTGTCGAAAACGTTCTAGCCCTTGATATATATATATATATATATATATATATATATATATATATATATATATATATATATATATATATATATATATATATATATATATATATATATATATATATATATATATATATATATATATATATATATATATATATATATATATATATATATATATATAGGTATATATATATATTTTTTAATTTTTTTAAACATCTTTGCTTCCAACAAGGCTGCAAGCAACTACTAATTAGTGTTGGAAGTTACTGGAAGAGAAAAGATGAAGATTGTAGAGCAAGATAACGATTGACAGACGACTTAAAAGATTGCAAATTATATGAATCAGGAAAGCAAGATGAAGGAAGCGAATTCCAAAGAACTGATGTTCGAGGAAAAAAACTAGACAAATAAGAGTTTTTGGAGCACTTAGGAATAGTAACAAAAAAAGGATGAGACTTGATTGAATGACGAGTAACTCAAGAATGAATTTTAGTAGATGGCACAAGAGACGCTAGCTCTTTAGAGCAGTGTCCATTATAGAATATTTGTAGAAAAGAGAAAGAGAAGCAACATTACGACGATGTGACAGAGGTTGAAGGTTGGCTGCAAGAGCAGGTCCAACTATGTTTACAATGCGTTTTTGCACCTTGTCTAAAAGAGAAAGGGCATCATTAGAAGACCCGCCCTAGATATGGCAACAGTATTCCATACAAGGCCGGATTTGAGATTTATAAAGATAGAGAATAGAATCCAGAGTAAGAAAGTAACAAGCTCGATAAAGAGAAGCAACTTTAGCAGATAATTTTGCAACAGATTTGATATAAGGTTTCCAAGAAAGATCATAAGTAAGAGTTAATCCTAGAAGATGAGGGGTAGGAGACTCATCGAGTACATTACCGTTCATAAATATAGGAAGGTCTAAATTATTGCGATAATGATTGGCTGAAAAAAATTAAGTTTTATCTGAATTAAAGTTCACCAGCCACTGTGAGCCCCATGCTGTAGCAGAAGTGAGATCCTTTTCAAGCTCAGATGCCCCTTGCAAGCAATCAGAGGGAGTTGGCTTTTTATCCTGACAAGAATAAATGGTAGTATCATCAGCGAACAATGCCACCTTAGATGTGAGAATATCTGGAAGATCGTTAATGTAAATTAAAAAGAGTATAGGGCCAAGGATTGAACTTTGTGGAACCCCTAAGGTTACAGAATAAGAAGAAGAGTGCTGTCCATCAAGGACAACATTTATACTATGATTGGAAAGGAAGGATTCAATAATTTTAAAGATGTTTCCAGATACACCGTAAGAAGAAAGCTTATGGAGAAGACCAGCATGCCAAACTTTATCAAACGCTTTAGAAATGTCAAGAGCGATGGCCTTAACCTCTCCACCTTTATCTAATGCGCGATAAAACCTATCGGTTATTACTGATAGCAAATCAGCTGTAGAACGAGAAGATCAAAATCCATATTGATGATCAGAAAGTAGGTCATGTGATTCGAGATGAGAGATTAGGAGTTTGTTAATTAAAGATTTATATATATACAAATATATATGTATATATATATCACCCCATTTTTGACAGCATTGATTGTATTTAGGTGAGTTTTAGGTCCTTATTTCGTAAAAAATTGTCTATATTCGGCATGTTTCTTGTTTTTTAGGTGCTTATTTTGTAAAAAAATGTCTTTATTTCTATGTTTCTGAATATATCTTAATGGCTGATGCTGCCATAAGTGGTACCACCGCCCAAATTATTTTCCTATATTAGACCCTATATATATATATATATATATATATATGTATATATATATATATATATATATATATATATATATATATATATATATATATATATATTTGTTGTTGTTATTGTTGTTTTTTTTCATTCTGATTCACTCCCAACATGACTACAAGCAACCGGTCAAATATCAACCCCGGCCATTTATACATAAATAAACATATATGCATTCTAAAGTATATTTTTTCAATTTAAAATTCATGTTATATTTTTATATATATGCATATATAAACATCATTATGATCATCATAATCATCATTACCATCATTATGATCATGATCATTATCTGATCATCTTCTCTTTCGGCAAATACCACACTATATAAACACTAAAGTTTATATAAATATGTAAGGATATTGTATGCCAGCATCTAAATAAATAGTAAACATGTATGTTTATATCCATAATATGTATGCATAAAGCGCATCTAGGAAGCTTTTTTTGCAATAAAAGTTTAAGAGCTTTTATTCCTTCTCTTTGGTTTTAAATCAAGCCTCATTCTACTCCACGTTTTTTACCATCTTTATTAAACTTTTATTATCATAATATAGTTTTATTGTTGCTTTATTAAACTTTAATCTTTTTTTTCATCTTTTTTACAAGAACATTTCTCTTAAGAACAAATGTCTTTTTATTATTACAAGAAGCCAATGTAAAAAAGTCCTGTCTGGTGTAAAGCTCTGTTATTCTCATTTTACTAAATCTTGTATCTTATCTCAGATGTTAGGTACCAGAGACTTTTGGTTAGTCTTCAACAATGTCATTAACTAAAGTAAGTCTAACATTTAATCTCTAGTTCATGAGTTTGATCTTTTTACTTCTCCCCAGAATAAAGCAGAGATATTTGCAAAGAAATCTTACTCTAATTTGACTCTTGAATATAATGGCCATACTCTTAATGACAGTTAAACAGATTAACCCATTGTGAAAAATTGAAATCATTCTGGCTTTAAATTCTTAAGTTTTTCTGGCTTTAAATTCTTAAAATTCCCAATTAAACGCTTTTACAGTTTGTGCTCCAGAATAGGTTTTCATCAGTCTTTTTTTTTTTTTAAACTTTTAAAAAGTGCTAAATAAATGGTTCCATATTTTCAAAAACTCTAAGAATTACTTTGACCTCTCTACTACTATCACCTTTCTACCCTATGAATAGTCTTCACTCTGTTGTTAGTTCTTTTATATAAAGGTCTTGAGATTAATTCATAAATTTCTAGCATTCTATTATTAAAGTTATTCTTGAAGGCCTACACTCTTCTTTGTTTCAAGTAACTTTAAGGTTACCACAAGGTTCTATTTGCTCCTGTATTGTTTCTTATCTATAATATTGATCTTTATGAAAATTCTACATCTAAAGTGGCTCTATTTTTTATAACTTAGAACAAGCAGCCAGTTTTTAATCTGACCTCTCCTTTGTAACAGCCTAAGACTTACAATGGCTTATGGGTTTAAATTCTGGACTTAAAATTCATAATTTTTGTTATAAAACATAATTCATTTATTTACTGCAAAAAATATTGCAATAATGTTGGCATTCCTATATTGATGAATAACAACCCTTTTACTCTCAGACAATACACATTGTAAATGTAATTAGACCTGCTTTATTTGTCAAGCTTAAGCCTCACTTCCATTGTTGTAAGGTTGCGTTTCTTTCTCTTTTTTCTACTAACACTATCATGGTGAATGCTCAAATGAGCTATCTCTATTATGGTAAACCAAAACTCATTCTTATTTGGCTTCTTATTATATCAACAAGTTGCATCCTTTTACTGTATCTATCCCTTCATGCTATAAAAACTTTTATTAATCCAGTTTTTTTCCTTATACATCAAAAAAACCTTATAATTCTTACTTATCTTTATGTTTTTCTTTTTTATACAACCTGCAATGTTTTAAGTCTTCAGTTAACCGTTTCCTAGTATTTTAACTTATTCTCTATTTAAAGTAGCACATTACTTAATAGCAGTTGCTTGCAATCTTAATCACCACAATTAAGTTGGGAGTTACAAGAAAAAAATAATAGAGTTATAGATCAAGGAAACAGTTGACAGAAGGCTTTAAAAGCTAAAGGTTGTATGAATCAGGAAAACATGAAGATAGGAGAGAACTCCATAGGGTTAATGTGCAGGGGAAAAAACTAGATGAATTTGCATGCTCTAAAAACTAGAACGTTTTTAGAGCATGCAGGGAGAAATAAAGCAAAAGAATGAGACTTAGCTGAATAACAAGTCAAACAAAAATGAGTTTTAGTTGATGGAACTAGACATGATAACTCCTTTGAGCAGCGACCTTGATAGTATTGGTAGAAAAGAGAAAGAGATGCAACTTTATGACAATTAGGGATTATCTTTTTCCGGATATTCAAAATTTTATTCCAGATATTTTTCTTAACTTTTAGTTTTTCCGGATATTCAAACATTTTCCATACATACAAGTTTAGGTTTATATTTTTGTAATATATTTGTTTTTTAAGGTTTTTCACTCATCACTTATACAAAAATTAGAAATGGTTTGGAAAAATAATTTGAAACAACCCAGCTAAAAGCAAATTTAAGAGGAAAATATATTCTGGATATTTTACCCAAACATATTTCCGGATTTTAAAAATATGACCTGAATGATCTATGGACAATCGGAAAGAGGCTCAAGTTTAGCAGATAGATCAGGTCCAACTACGTTTACAATGCGTTTTTGGACCTTGTCTAGAAGAGAGAAAAAGCATCATTAGAAGAACCAGCTCAAATATGACAACAGTATTCCATGCAGGGATGAATAAGAGATTTGTAGAGCACTGACTTTGTTTTTATAAAGGCTATAATTGACTATGTTGGGTAGCGTTTTTAATGTTTTTCACACCGATTGGTACTTGAGATTGGTAAATGTGTTAATGGCTACCAATTTTCATGTCGTTTTCTAAAACAAAAGTCATCAATGTGCCCACTAAAGTTTGACCAGTATGCCCAAAAAGTTTCTGGATTCGCTATAGAGGTAGATAATGGAATCAGGAGAGAGAAAATGGTGAGCACATTAAAGAGAAGCAACCTTACTCGGTGAAAGGGTTGCCATTCATTAATATAGGAATGTCGACAGTACTGTGATAGTTGTTTGCCATAAAAAACTGAGTTTTATTGTATCAAGTTAAGATACAAAGTCTCTTGTTCGTTTAAGAGTGTATATATGTGTGTATATATATAAATACATATATATATATATATATATATATATATATATATATATATATATATATATATATATATATATATACATATATACATATATACATATATACATATATATATATATATATATATATATATATATATATATATATATATATATATATATATATATATATATATATATATATACTTTTTTTTTTTAATTTTTTTTGTTGTTTTTATTTTAATCACTTTATCTAGAGTTTAAATAAACGTTTGTTTTGCTATTTTTCTTTTAACTATTTCATTTAGAATTTATTCAAAGCATTCTTTTTGCTGTTTTTATTTCAATTTAAATAGCAAATAAAGATGAATTTTCAAAATTGCTCACACCAATCTTACAATGACCATTTGGCCTGCGCTTTTTCATGTGCTGGCATTAAATTTTAAACAGAGAAGACTTTTATTTAGAATTGCTTTTTTTATTAATTCTAATTATCCAGTAACTAAAGTGGTTAAAAAATAGTTTAACTTTTTCTTGTAATTCATAAACAAAAATTAAATAGTATCTGCTAGCTTTTTTTGAATTTTCGCAGTTAAAAAAATTCCAGATTATAAATTCAAAAAATTCCAAGATTATAAATTCAAAAAATTTGTTTAAAAACAATTTTTTTTTTTTCAATAGTCCAAGAGGACCATCATTTTTGAGTCTAAAGATCTGACACATCAATAAAACTTTGGATCTAGTGTTGTTATTTATAAAAAAAAAAAGTTAAATTAAAGTATTAAAAGGTTTATAAATTGCTTTGAAAATGTATGTGTTTGAAAACATGTGTGTGAAAATACATGTGTTTGCATTTGGATTTGTATCAAGATGTTAAAGTTTTATTGTGAATTATTTTTGAATGGAGAACACACAAATCTTTTGAACATACCAAATTTGATTATATATAATAGGGTGAAGTGAAATTTTATATTTTATGAAATAAAATTATGTAAAAATTTCAAAAATAACATTCATCAATCGATTTTATGTAAAAAAACATAAAATTATTTAAAAAAAAACTTTTAAAAATCACCATAGCATGAAAAACTTATCATTAAATACTATTTTATTATTCCGTTTGATTTTTGTTAACATTTTTAAATCAATAAAGTTAATCATTGAAAAATTATGCAATTTTTTTTATTTTGTTTAAATTTTTAGTTACCACATGCTATATATGACCTCTCTCCACATGCTATATATGACCTCTCTCCATATGCTATATATGACCTCTCTCCACATGCTATATATGACCTCTCTTAACAGTTTCTAGATTGATGAATAAACTTTATAAAACCAAATAGTATTATAGTATGAATATTTATCATAATTTATCTAGGTGCATAGTTACATGAAGTTCTTATCTTTTCAAATGAAATATATATAAAAACTAAAAACTTGATAATGAATCAATTAAAATCGTGTTTCCATCAAACATACACTGTATGAATTTTCTTACTATCTTCAATTAAAGAGTTTTTCTTTAATTGAGGGTAGTATTTTTGATAATTCAGTATTATGATTAATAGAAGTTATGATTTAATATTATGATCTGATGAAACTTTTAGACAACGCGCAAATTTTCTATTTGTTTTATTTTTGTTAAATTAGGAGAATGTTCTTGAAGAGCAGCAATTAGAAAGAAATGATTCATCTTTCAATAAAACATGTTTGTTTTGTAAAGAGAGTTTCCAGGGAAACAGGTTGCAACTATAAAATAAAAGCAGTATAACAATATATCTTGTAAACTGTAAAAATTTAATATCTTTTTCCACAATTTTTTTTTTTATTTACCATTATTTTTACTTGCAGAGCAAAGATTTTCAGGCATATGGCTAAAGAGCACAGCTTTAATGTGGGGAACTCGGACAACATTGGTACTTTTTTAATTTATAAAGTTTTTATTTAGTTGTTTCTAGTATATTGATGATAAATTTGTTGATCAAATAATTTTATTTTTAACTCCAGTGCATGCATCTGAGTTTATTGATCTCATAAAAAGCAAGTTGGATAGGTACAATTATTTATCTAATTTTTTTATTTTTTTTATTTTTTATTTTTTGTGTACAAATTTTTTACATTAATGATTTTGTGCTCAGTGTTTATTAAAAATTTAATTACATTTATTATTATAGGGTAGGGTAGGGTAATTAGGGTCTAAGGGATAATGTGGGTCTAGTCAATTGTTTTTCAGAAGAAAGATTTTAGAAGAATGTTTGTTAGAAGAAAGGTTTTAGGTAAAAGTTTTTTTCTGTATGTTATAGGTGGTTAAAACAGCTCTCTAAACTTTAATTATCAGTTTTCAAGACAAATTCTTAAGCAGGTCTTGTGATGAGGCAGGAACAATTGCTCTGCAGACATGGAACACGCCCATAAACAACCTTCCAGACGCAACAAATAGCGCTCACTAGTTTTGTTAAGAGAGTAAAAAATCTCGCTTGTCTGAAGAACTTGCGAGGGAGAAAATTTTTAAGTTGATGTTATAGAAAATATTTTTAGTAAATTTTTTTGCTCAAGTCAAAATATGTTTAAACAGTAGAACATAAAAATCCATGTAATAAAATATCAAAACTTCAATGAAATGCAATACTTTAATGAAAACTTAAATGTTAAAAAATTAAATATCTAGCGTGATATTTATATCTAATATAATGTGTAATACTTATAAATATCTTATAAATAAATGTCTAGCGTGAAAAGTTTATCAAACTAAAACTTCACTTAAAGCTTGAATTTTGTACATGTTCAATCTCATTCTATTAATTAATGACTATTATATTAAAAATACAAAAACATCAAAATGTTGGAATATCAAATATTTTTTGTCAAATATAAGTTAATAAACTAATGTATTTTCACTGGTATCTTCCAATTGGTTTTCACTTCCAATCGGTTAAGCTTTAAAGTCTTTATTAAAAAAGTTTATTATAACAAATGTCGTCATAATCAAGTATGTTAGTTCAACTCCAATAGGAAACAAAGTTGTGTAGTCAACTTTTAGTAAATAGCGATATTTCATTGTTTTTATTTAATATCAAAGCTGCAGTATCATATTTTTTCCGGTAGATAGACAAATGCATTAACTAAAAAACCAAAGCTTTTTCGTCTGATTTCCTGGACTTCACATGAAAAAAAATTCAAACAAAAAATTGCCCACCCTTTTCCTTGTACGCACTGGTATACTTTTGAGTGAGCCCCTCCCCATATTTGCATACATAATTTATGGATGGTCCCATGGCAACCAATTTCCAACTCTGAATATCGGTCTCAAAGACTTGATGCCGAGCACGCATAATCGTGCTCATTAATAACGTTTTTCAATATTACGAGTGCGAATTATCGCACTGGGTGATTTTATTCATTTCATGCACTGCTTAAGTATATATTTTTTTCAAAATGACATATTTATTTAAAGAGAGAATTTTTATTGAAAACCTTAAACTTCAGAGAAAGGGTTTAAAAACAGGGTCTATTTCATAGAAAATTTTTTATCTGGAGAAAAATAATTGAACCAGATAATTAGGTTCAGTTAGTTTTAAGATGGAATGATGCATAGTTTTTTTGAAATAAGCAACATTTTTGTTTGAAGTTTTGTGTGAAGGGTGTAAATGTTGATGTGTTTTGTGCCATTAAGCAACTAATGCTTATACACACAATAATTACTTTTAAAACGAAAATTAGTATATATTAGAAGTCTGACTATGTTTCTATATTCAATAGTATTGCTATATATATTTTTTGCCAGAAATAGGTAAAAATAGGCTTAGATTATCCCCACTCTACCCTAATTAAATAATTATTTAATTATGAATTAGTTAATGATGGATCATTAGTTATAATAATTTGTTAATTAATTAGTTAATTGGTTATCTTCCTTTAATTCATAAAGACTCCAATAGTCACATACTTGGCCTGGGCATTTATATTCGTAAGAATTCACCCATTTGTTGGAAAACTAGGTTTGAATCCACAGATTATTCTTTTATGTGCTTTTGTTTAGCACTACTTCAGTCTATCGCCTTTCTCTTTGTTCTATATGGCTCTCCTTCATCTCAAGACTGCACTCTTTTTGATGTTATTTCTAATCAAATTGACCAAGCCCTCTCTCTTTATATATCAGCTGATAGTGTTGTTGTTGGTGACTTAAATGCTTATCACAATTAATAACTTGGCTCTAGTGTCAGTGACTCTGCTAGCATTAAGGCCCAAAAGTTTTGCCTTTCTCAATCTCTAATTCAAATAGTGAATTTTCCAACTCGTTTTCCAAATCATTTACCTTCTCTACTCAACTTATGTCTTGTTTATGATCCTAGTTAGTGCTCAGTTTCTCTACATTTAATCTTAGGTGCTTCTGATCACGGTTTGATCTCTCTAAAACTATCATCCCATTTTTCTTCATCATCAGAATCCTCCTATCATCGTACCTCTTACAACTACCTTAAAACTGACTGGGACTCTTTTCGTGATTTTCTTTGCGATGGCTCTTGGGTAGAAATCTTTTGTCTTCCTGCTGATAAATGTGCTTCTTACATAACTTCCTGGATTCAGGCTGGCATGAAATCTTTTATATACCAACCTGAAAATAAGATTTTAAGATCAATTTCCAATAAAAACCATTACTTCCATATCTATCAGCAAAACAATTCTCCATAAAACAGGCGTTTGTTTACTATTGCTAGAAAGGTTTTGTCTTACACCAAAGCCTGCTATTCTCAGGTCATGAAATCTCGTAATTCATCACAAAAATTAGGCTCTCGTGATTTCTGGAGAATTTTTAACAGTATCAATAATAAGGGCAAATCTGTTATTCTACCTCTCTTGTATGGCTTAGATTTTGTCACCTCACCTAATTACAAAACTGAATTGTTTGCTAAGAACTTCTCATCAATATCATTTCTTGGTTCCACTAGTTGGGTTCTACCTGATATTGCCGACAAACAGTTTGATCCATTGCTTGACATTTGTATCACTCCAGCTTCTGTAACTAAAGTGATTTCCTGCTTAGACTATTCTACAGCTTGTGGTCCAGACAACATACCTGTTGCTGTCTTGCAGAAATGTTATCTGTCGTCTATACTTTTAAAACTATTTAACAAATAGTTTTAAGTATAGAGTCTTGTTTTCCAGCCTGCTGGGTACAAAGGATCCAAAATCAAGAAAAAACAAAACAAACAAAAAAGTCGAGAGAAATCAAGAAAAAAACTCTGTCAGAGTCGAGAAAAAATTTGAGTTTCGATAGTATTTTGTTATAAATGAAAAAAATAAATTATCTATTTGATAATTAAACATTGTTCTTGTATTTTTGTATCTTTCTAATATTGTATTTTTTTTAATTTTAAATATTTCGATTTATAATTCATAATAAAGTTTTTAAAAATTTATATTTTTATATTTTTTAGTACTTAAATATTTTTTTTATCACAATTTTTTAACGAACAAGTTTTATCTAATAATTAGCTTTCTAACCGGCATCGGTAAGAAAGAAGGCGTGAACTTTCAGTTAAATGCCCTTTCACTTTGCTTAAATTTAAAAAAAAAGTATTTGTTCTGAAGATCTTTTTAAATAATATTTTAAAAAGATCAAAACATCTATCATTTCATCAGAAAGCAAACTACAAAGCTTTGGGACAAATCTGGAAGACAAGGAGAAAACTCTTTTTGCTTCCGAGGAAGTTGCTTGAATTCTGTGGATGGCTAGTTCAAATTTCAAAACTATTTCTAATATCACACCAGTTACTTCATATTCTTTCAACTGATTGGTGAAGGTCGTGACTTTTTTTGGCTTTTTAGCTGCTGATTGATTTTGATTTAGAACTTCTTGAATTTTGGCAAAAAAAATGATGTCCATTATGATGGTTCTTCTTGTTTGCTTTATGCGTGATCATCTGATTTTGATTTGAGACTATTTTCTTTTGTTGCAAATAGTTAATCAAATAGCAGCATAAACTTGAATATCTTTTTTGGAAGTGTAAAAAAATGTGGTTTTCATTTTAAAAAAAATCGAGATTGTGCAAATAACGACTCAATGATACCAATATAACGTTTTTACAATCTTCATATCTGGAGATTAACGCCTATACATAATTAAAACTGATGTCAGTTTCTACAACCTTCAATTTCCTTACTAATGATTCCATAATAATGTCTCACTCCAAAATTGTTGTATCTGGTTTTTTCAAGCGAACTGCAGCGTCAGCAATGACCAACAAGTCAGATAGCGACTTTAAGAAATCCAAGTCAATTTCATCTAGCATGTTTGAGCAGTTTAGCTCTTCGAGTGTTATTTTTACAACTTCTAAGCAATCCAAAAATCTTTTAATCATCTGAAAAACACTGTTCCATCTAGTTTTGTTGTCGAGCAACAATCCTTTGTCATGTGAAGATCATCTTTGTCATGCGAAGATCATCTTTGTCATGCGAAGATCATCTTTGTCATGCGAAGATCATCTTTGTCATGCATATATTTCATGTATTTTTCTTTTAAGAACTTCATATCGAAACAATGAATATTTCAAAAACTTAATTAGTATTCAAAGTTTCTGTAAATTTTTTTCAATATTTTTTTCATACTCTATCATTCTCCGAATATTCAATAAGAAACTTTCCTTCAGTCTCTCCATCAGTTTCTGTTGCTGTTTCAATATCCGAATCAGTTTCTTTATTCACAATTTCGCGACAATCTATTTTAGCATATATCAAATCACAATGAATGAATGATTTTGGAAGATCTGATGTGGAAACTTAAATATGATACCCAATTTCACCATCCAACTACTGCCATCCGTAGTTTTACCTGCAATATATTCACTATCTATACCAAATTCTTTTAATTTTTCCATTATCAAAATGTTTAATGTTTCAGCAGAACTAGGAGATGGCAATCTCACCATTCCTAAACAATTCATTTGGTCGTGATAAACATTTAAATTGTAGTATCTTCTACCTCTATTGCTACACCATTCGTCACCTGTTAGTCCAATTTTTTCCTCTTTTGCTTTCAATGCAGCCAACTCAATGATCATTAAATATTTAGTTTCAGCATAAATCATCCTAATTTTTTCTGAAATTGTGGACGCTGACTTATAGGCAAACTATACCCATAATTTTCAAAAAGCATTCTTAGTGTTTCAGATTGAGTTATGGACCTAATTGAATATCCATCAAGAGCTATCAACTTGGCAAGAAGATAGTTTAACAACATCTTAGTCAAAACTGGTCTGGAACTGAATGGTTTCAAATCTATTTTCTCGCAACTTTTGACATGTCCAATTAGGCTGTTTGTGCTGCTTCCTGGACAAGCGATTCTTTTATAACATTTTTTGCAATCTCCATATTTCTTATCATTTACCACAATTTTATCAAAGTAATTACACGCTCCCATTTTATTTCTATGAAAGAAAAATTACATATTTGTTTCTAATTTTATTTTAATTGTGAAAAGTTATCACATTTTAAGTAATTAAGTTATTTATTCTGATAGGTAAGTATAATTAAACATTAATTATTATTACTTGTTATCACGGATAACATTTTATTGCACAATTTTGCCACAATGCACAGTGGGCCTGATATTAGACTTAAGGTGGACAAAATTATTTTGATCATACAATATACGACACTATTTGTATAAAATGAAAGTATTATATGTTTAGAACTTACCTCATTATTTAATGACCTGTCTTTGTTTATATTATAAATAATGATTTTCACTAAATTTTTTTGTAAAAGTAAACTATTGAATAGTTAAAATATGTAAACTAATATTACATACGCATAATATTTTAAAAGTTACTGTTTACTATATCTTTGCTTAAAAATTAAAAAGTTCTTGCTTTTTATTATGCATTGCATTTTATTATACTGCAATTGATTTTTATGGATTTAAAAAAATACTAATACTAAAAAGATAGTTATACACAAAAGAGTTTTTGAAATAGTACAATGGAAAAGTATGAGTATGTTTTATTATATAGTTTTAAATAGAATAAACTTTTTTTGAGGTTTTTTCTTGGCCCACTGTGCATTACTGATTGCTTTGCGATGGATATTAGTGTCATTATTAAATAAAGAGAACACTTACATTTAAAAACAATTTTTAAAATTACAATTTACAATTATAAAAACCACGTAGAATCAAAATAAGAATTCAATTATTTTATGAGTAAAAAATTGATACTTTCAAAAAACTTTGTCAAAGTTCCTCGATTTCTTTCGAACTCCGAAACTCCAAAAAACTGAGAAAAATCTGACGAGATAGAGTTCTGAATGGATACACTGACTGGGTAGCGGCATCTGTTATCCCTATTTTCAAAAATTCTCAAGAGCAATCTGACTCATCTAATTATTGTCCAATTAGTCTTCTTCCTATCATAAGCAAGGTTTTTGAATCTTTAATTAATTTCTGATCATAAATATGGATGTGCATCTACTTATTCTACTACTGATTTGTTATCGGTAATAACTGATTTGTTATCGGTACTGCTGATTTGTTATCGGTAATCTGTGGCGGATCTTCCAATGATGCCTTTTCTCTTTTAGACAAGGTGCAAAAACTCATTGTAAACATAGATGAACCTGCTCTTGCAGCCAAACTCCAGTCATACCACATTGTCATAATGTTGCTTCTTTTTCTCATTTCTACAAATACTATATGAGCACTGCTCAAAAGAGCTAGCGTCTCTTGTGCTATCTACTAAAATTCGTTCTCCTGTTACTCATTCATCATTCAATTAAGTCTCATCCTTTTACTATGACAGCATGGTGAGGCTCCAAGAAAATACAATTTATGTTCTTGCCTCATGGTCGAGCATTTCACCTAATTTAAACCCTAATTAAAACTGATAGGTAAAGAAAGTCTAAGAAATTCCATAATGAATATGTTGTGTCATAAAATAATGTCTGGGTATTGTTAGTCTAAATTCTAAAACTTGTTTATTCTATTGTTTTCATGTATATTGTTCAACTCTAAATTTTGAGAGTATTATACATGATTTTTCTTGTATGAAAGTTAAAAGAACGAATATGTAAGTATTATTACATAAGCACATAATTTATTAATGGTTAAAAAAATATGTTTAGTTTTTTTTAATTAGGTATATGTTTTTCATATAAGTAGGAAACCTGCAACTTTAAGTTTCTTGTGGCCTTTAATAGGTTTCACCTTTCAAAGGATACAAGAAATTTAAAGTTGCAAGAACTATTATTTTCTTTATTTCTTCTTTTTAGTTTTAAAAACATAGAGTAACTTTAAAAAAGTTATTATTCAAAAATTTGTTAACAAAAATAAATTATTCTACTATCAAATATTATAGATTTTGTATAAAATAAAGGTACATAATTTTAATTATGTACCTTTATTTTTAACGTGCATAATAAAATCCATATTTATATACTAAACGTTTAGCATACAAAATATTAAATATCTAAATATATTTATATACTAGAAGTGTTTCTGATATACTGGAATTCTGCAAATCTTTAAAGAAAAAAGTGCATTTAAAAAATCAACATTATTTATGTTGTTATTATTAAAAAATAATTTTAGTTATGTTTTGGTGTTATTTTTATGAAACTTTTATGAAAAAAAAAACTATTGCAAGTTTTATTATGCAAAAATAGTTTTATTCTGAATTTTTTATACAAAGCTACAGAAAACTATTGTAGTTTTATTTCAATGAGTTTGTGACATATAAAACCACAGAAAAACACATTTCTTACTTTTCAATGAGTTTGTTACATATATGACTACAGAAAAAAAAAAAAAGTCATGAAGTTGTAAATGAATTTGATCTTTCTTAAAATACACTTCACATTTAAGTTATAATGATTTGTTGTAATTTTTATTTATTTGAAATGTTTTTTGCTTAAGAGTCAACCTTATGGCTGTAATTAAAATTCTTGCTAAATTCTTGCTAATTCTTGCTACAATGAGTTTGTTACATATAAAATCACAGAAAAACACTTTTCTCACATTTGAATGAGTTTGTTACATATAAAACTACAGAAAAACACATTTCTTACTTTTCAATGAGTTTGTTAGATATATAACCACAGAGAAAAAAAAAAAAGTCATGAAGTTGTAAATGAATTTGATCTTTCTTTCACTTCACGTTTAAGTAATAATGATTTTTATTTATTTGAAATGTTTTTTGCTGAAAAGTCAACCTTATGACTGTAATTAAACTTAATCTAAAATATTTTGTTCTTTCTGTGACACAATAATAGCATACAGGTAACCAACAGAGTTAATCCAGTCAGGTAGACATGGAAGAGCTGATACTAAGAACAGATTGTAGATAGAGTTATTAAATCAAAATCTAAATTGATAGGTATTCAAAAGAGTAGTAAGGCTTGTTAAAAGTGAAACCCAGTAAGCACAAAATGTATTAAGTGTGTTAAAACATATTAATACATTTTTTAGACATGTAAAACATCTTGTGCTTACTGGGAAAAAAAACTCTAATGTTAGAAGGGGAGAGGGTATGAACCTCTATATGTGGCTTAACAATCTCATTAATGCGATGAGTTATAACACCAGTAAATAAATTAATTTAAGTTCACAATATTTTGTATATGCAATTCAATTTCATTTTCAATTTACTGGTTTTTCATCAATGAATACAAGTTTTTAACCACCAATAATATTTTTTTCTTGCTACAATGTCATCCACAATTCTTGCTTTGATGTCACCATAATTCTTGCTACAATTTTTATTTTTTTATTTTTGCTTATAGTTTCACTTGTCTATGCTGTTCAAAACAGTTCAAAGATTGGAATACTCTCAAAGATCACATGAGAAAAAAAGGTCATAAAAGAATAGATCCATTAAACAAAGAATATGACAAGTTCTATCTTATCAATTATCTGGTATTTCAAATATATTTAAATTAAAATAAGTTTAAATTATAATAATTAGTATTTGTTTTTTTATTTATATATGATCTTACTATAATATTCTTTCCAATTTTAATATGTTTTTCTAGGCACCAGGGAAATATTGGAAAGAAGTACAATCAGAACCAGAATACGAAAAAGAAAATATTGAAGAACAAGAAGAAGAAAATACTGAAAAGTGTGAAAACTTTTTTAAAGTTAAATTTCAATGCAAACTACTTTGCATTGTAGCATTGTAACTACAATGCAAACTAAATGCATTTATTTTTTGAGCTGAGGGGGGGGGGGGTTGATTGGGCTGTGAAAAAATGAGCTATGTTGTTGTGTTTATTTTGTTTTAGAGCTTGGGGGGATTGGACTGAGAAAAAAGGAGCTATATCGTTGTGTTTATTTTGTGCAACAACTGATGTTGATGTTAACAAGATTATAGAGCACATGAAGGTAAAAAAAAATATTTTAATATTTAAGTAAATACTTTTTTAAGTTTTTATTTATTTATATGGATTTATATAGATTTTTTTTCTCTAAGTTAAAAAATATGTTTTTCTACAATACTAATTATAATAATACTTATAGCTAATATAAAATAAGAAAGAAAATATTATCACAGATCAAACTACTGTATCGAATATATTAAACAACTTTTTTGTTTAATATTTTTCAAAACAAATTTCAAAACAAAATCATGCCTTCAACATCCAAATTTACTGACTATCTCAACTCTCTAAATTCTAATACCGTATTATTAATATGTTCTATATTGATCAGCTCATAGAAAATGAAATCTCTAATATTATAAAAACCACTCTTAGAACTGGAAAAAACTTTGGTCCTAATAGCCTTTCTACATTCCTTCTTAAACTTATTCCAAACATAATTTCTAAACCTCAAAGTATTATTATAAATAACTTATTTCAAAATGGTGTATTCCTAGATGCTTTCAAAGTTGCTTAAGTCATTCCAATATTTAAAAAAGGTTCTACAATGGATTTGCATAACTAACGACTTATCTCTCTTCTTTTTAACCTAAGCAAACTCTTTGAAAAAGCTATACACAAGAGGCTCTATGCATTTTTGAATTAATTTAAATGCCTTTACAAACACCAGTAAAACAAATATAATATAAATATAATATAATATAAATATCCAATAAAACAAAAATCAATAGAAATTTAAACTTTAAATTAAGTGGCCAGAAAATCATTTAACTGTTAACTCAATCAAATATCTTGGAATTATAATTGATTCCAACCTATCGTTTGTATCCCATCTTAAAGACTTATAAAATTAAGCAGATCAAACAGAATGCAAGCTAAAGTTTGCCATTATGTCAATCTGGAAGTACAATTAAATACATAATCATGCCATTTTTGGCTCACATATACAATATGCTTGTCAAATAGGGATAATCTCAATAGCAAGCAGTTTTAAGTATATTCCATCCTCAAAACAAAGCTTTAAAAATAATACATTTTCAGAATTACAAATTCAATCCTAATTTGCTTTATCTTACTTTTAAGATCTTTAAACTATGTGACCTTGTTCAATACTTAAATTACCAGTTTGTCTGCCAACACAGAAACCTACCTCTTACCTTCAACAATTTCTTCCCCAAAAATGCAAATAACCTATACTATCTTCGATCAATTGATAATCTGAAACTAGTGGTCTTAAATTAGTATTGTTATTATTTTGTATTAATATCATTTTATTGTTATCATTGTATTGTTATTATTTTTATTAATATCATTTTATTATTATCATTGTATTGGTATTATTTTTATTAATATCATTTTATTGTTATCATTGTATTGATATATTTATTAGCTTTTATTTGCAAGGTTTTTACTTATGATTAGTACATGTACTATTTGTAAACTTCCGTGAATGTAATAACTATTTCAGAAGTATATTGATTGATTGCTAAATCTAAAAAAATTCTGTATGAATGAATGAGAAACAAAAACTCCAGAATATTTACAATGATAGTCCAAAATGCTCTATAAACGAAAGAATTCTAATTTATATAAATGTGTGTTAAATGATTTAAACCAAATCTATTGCAGTTCTCAAATTCTATGAGAGTAAAGTTTAAACTTCTGTATCAAAAAGTGTTTTTACTAAATATATTTAAAAATTGTTTTTTTTTTAATGGAGTGTTTAAAATGGTTGTAGTATACATTTATTTACATGCGTATATTTTAAGCATACATTGATGAAATACATTTATTTATACATTTTACAAAAATAAAATACAAATTATGTATGCATAAATAGTGTGCATTTATCTTTTTTTATTTTATTTTAATTTATTTTCAATAAAGCTACAAGCAACCACTATTAAGGTAGGAGTTACTAGAAAACAAAAAAGTTAAAGAGCATTTTAACTATTCCAGAAGAATAGAGTTTATAGTTTATAATAAAACCCTTAAACTCTATTCTCTATTCTAGGAATAGAGTTAAGAGAAACTCTGTTCTAACTCTATAGGAGCAAGAGCTCCATTGAGCAGCAACCATGATAGTATTTGTAGAAATGAGAAAGAAACTTTTCGATGACAAGAGAGAAGCTCAAGCTTGGCAAGTAAAGCGAGTCCAACTACATTTACGATGCATTTTTAGGCCTTGTCTAAAATAGAAAGAACATCATTAGAAGAACCAGCCTAAATATGATAACAGTATTTAATACAGGGCTGAATAAGAGATTTGTAGTGGTAGAGAATCAGGAATCAGGAGAATACAGTAATCATAGTAATGGCATGCATGATAATGAAATTATTATCATTCTATATTGTACCAAATTATATACAACAATTTTTAACAAACATGTGATGACCAATAACAGTATTTTTGGCAGAGGGTTAAATGATAAATTTTTGTCTTAATAAAACGAAGGTTAGTACCCATTATATATATATATATATATATATATATATATATATATATATATATATATATATATATATATATATATATATATATATATATATTATGTAAATTGACCTCCTCAAGGCCAAAAAGGCCACTACAGACAAGGAGGCTTCTTAATTGCTGTTATAACCTTCTCTCAATTCTATAACTCCGAAACACAAACCTTTTAGGCATGGTTTAAGTTTAAAGAGAGCTTGACTCATTCATAAATAAAGTACCGCATCCCAAACAATGAGGTGTGCAGTTGTCAGCCTCAGTCCTGCTAATTAACCTTAAGTTGTAACTTAGGGGTCCTTTTGACCTTCCACACCAAAATCGCTAACAAAGACACCATCTATTTGCAACACGGCACTGCTAATACTCTGTTATTTTACAACTTTCAATGGAATCAGCCTCTCTGAGAACTACCACAGAATTCGGTAAACCTTACTATGAGTCAACCTCAGAACCATTTAACTGACTTTTAGAGTTGTAGGAGATAACAGGAAGAGTTGCATAGCCATTATCAAGGAAGCACAAGCAACAATCTATGGTTTGAGAAGATCCAGCATTCATCATACTTGGAAGGAAAAAATACAACAGGCTACTTGGCATGGTCAACAATCTACCTAAAATGATACATCTACCTGACATGGAATAGATAAAAGAGGAAATACTTCCTGCAAGTTGTACTTTGAAACATTGAACAGGGTATTTTGAAAATGCATTAGGAATGAAATTACATCTATTCGAATACTAGATGTTAAGGTGAGCATAAGTTTCATAGTTAGGGTCACTAGTTGTTAAGTGAGCTCATACTACATCAGAGTTTTGAGCAGAACAAAAATATAGGTATAGTAACTTACAAGAGAGCAAACACTGTACCAAAGGTTCAAACAGAACACATATAGTAACTTATACATAGTAACTTACAGGTGAGAAAAAAGCACCAGATGTTCAGTCAAAAACATACACGCATATGGGAACTTACGGGTGAATAAACACTGTTCCAGAGGTTCAAACAGCGGTAGTGGTGTAGTGTAGCGGTAGTGGTAGAGCGCTCACTTCATAAACGAGTGGTTCCGAGTTCGATCCACACCACGTCCCTGGTAGTACCGCGCTCAACTCGTTTCTCCGCGCAGTGGCCTTGTTCGTCAAGGTTCGTGTTTCGGAGTTATAGAATTGATAGAGGGTTATAGCCACAAATAAGTAGCCTCCTCGTCTGTAGTGGCCTTCTCGGCCTTGAGGAGGTGAATTAAAATAAATAAATAAAATAAAATAAAAAAAAACAGAACATTAACATACAAATAGCAAATTATGGGTCAGTAAACACTGTGCCAGAGGTTTAAATAGAACACAAATATTATATAGTAAATTACAGGTGAGCTAACACAGTAACTAAGACACCCCAACTAAATAAAAGACAAAAAATATATATTTAATTACTATAGATATGACAGATGTTAGATATTGATGTCAGGAAGTACACTTCTTCCAACCATTGCTGAGAAAATAAATCTTGCAAGGCAGCTGAACATGGAACAGGTTGGGCTAGATTACATGTCACCAGTAGCAACATTTGAGTTGTGTTGAAAATATAACTTTATATGCTTATATACCAATAATTCATATATAAATCTTTGATATTTTTTTATTTATCACTTTATAGCTTTTTTCTCTTTTGTTATAAGTTTGTAATGGGTTTCACTAGCAACACACCTTACTTTTTTTTTTTACAAAACATGTTTTCTAATAGTAGTTTTACTAAAACTTAAGAGTTTTTTTAAAATCTTCTGTCAACTTTTTTCTTGCTCTTTAACAATACTCTTTGTTTTCTGGTAACTCCTAACTAATTATTAAGTGAAGAATGGAAATAAATGATTTTTACAAGAATAATTTCTTCAAAACAAAATAAAAGATTTTTAGTGCAATTTTATAATATGATGCTGAACTTAGTGCCCCTTTAAGCATGTTTGACACAGAAGCCATTGCAATTGAGGTAATGGCAAGAAATAGTTGCAGCACTTTTTTTTATTAAAAAGTATGAATGAAAGTGTATCCAAATATCAAATTGTGCAATGCTAAAACCAAGTTTTACTGTTTAACTTTTACTTGAAAACTGCATTGGGGAAACATCTTTATAATTTTGGTTTATAGAATTTGTTTACCATTTTAAAAAGTTTTTTGTTTATTAAATAGTGTTAAAACAAATCCTACCACTGGCACTTTTTTATATATATAAATATATATATATATATATAAATCTTTTATGATTTTACTAAAATACAAAATAAAACACTTTTGAAGTTTTATAGATATATACATAACAGATATAAAGATATTATACACTATAACAAACAAAAGGGAGAGAATTTTTAAATCTTTGTCAGACAACACGCCTATGAGGCTGAATTGGTTAGCTCACAGAGTTTCTGAAGCAATGTGCCATGGCTCAAATCCTACCACTGACACCTTTTTATTTTTTTTATTTTTTTAAATCTTTTGATTTTTTTAAAATACAAAATAAAACACTT